CGTCCCCGTCACAGCGCGGCTGCTCTCGCCGCTCAGGAGGGAAGGCTTTACCCGTGTTTGTTGTTGACAGGGAATTTGGCAGCTCTAGGCCAGCCTCCCAGMGCCCCAGAGATCCCTCCGGCCCAAATCTCCAACACAAACAGCTCTCCAGCTCCCCGACGGGGAGGGAGGGGGTTCCCGGCTGACGGGACGCACCCGCAGGCGATGGAAAGAAACAACCGAACTTCGGGAAAASAGGAGGCGTGAGGAGTCTGACACGGAAAGCGCCGAGCAGCCGGGCGTGCTCGGGATCCGTGCGAACAACTGAGCACATCTCTATAAATAGCAACCCCTGATTTGCATAATTATTGTTATGCAGATCACTCCTGGTGATTAATTCGATAAAAGGAATTTGGAAGAGTTTCCCCATGCGAGAGGAGATCTGTGGGCTGGTCTGCTCCAGGGGATGAGAGGAGTTGGGGGCTTAGTTCCCTTCTTGGATGGATGGGAGCAGGGTGGCATCCCTGGCCATGGCAGGAGGGTGAAACAAGGTGACTTTGGGGTGCCTCCCAGTCCCAAATTGTTCTGTGATATGATTCTATAAATGCCCGGCCCTTGTATGTGGGTCAGTGGGTGACCACACCTCCCTCCAGCTCCCAGGAATCTCACCATGCCTTCTGTTGGAACCATCCATCTACAGGAAGGATTCCCTGCAGGCTGGGTCATTCCAGCACTAACAAAGCTCCAGCCACATGCAATGGGGGTGTCAGCCCCAATGGAGAAATACAGGAAGATTTTGTCCATAATAAAGCTAATAATTCCACAAGGGCAATGGTGGTGCTCAGCATCCAACACCCCTAAGGCAGGAGTGCCAGTCTGCTGAGCCCTGGTTAGGATTGCAGGTGTTACAGGAATCATGGAAACATAGAGTGGGTTGGGCTGGAAGGGACCTCAAAGCCCACCCAGTGCCACCCCTGCCATGGCAGGAACACCTCCCACTGTCCCAGGCTGCTCCCAGCCCCAATGTCCAGCCTGGCCTTGGGCACTCAAAGGGATCCAGGGGCAGCCACAGCTTCTCTGGGCACCCTGCTCTGGGACCCCCATCCTYACAGGGAAGAATATCCCAATATCTAACCTCTTTTGGTGTTAAACCATTCCCTTTGTCCTATCACTCTCTGTCCCTGTAAAAAGTMATTTTCCACTTGGACTGCTAATCCAAATAAATCCAAAATACGAGGTGATACCTGGCTGCGTTGCACTCAGAGCCCAGAGCGCAGCAGGTTCGCTGCTGTAACGATATCAGTGAACAGTTTGTGTTCTCCAGGGCAGCGCTGGGCAGATGATGTCTGCTGTCCTGGCCAGACTGGAAACTTGTGTCTGGAATGGTCCAAGGCTGCTGCCTCTGCCAGGGAATGTGGGTGGACACTGAACCTCAGCCATCGTACGAAGGAACAAATGGAAATGTCCAGCCTTCAACTCAAAGGTTGGTTCCCAAGCAACCTCATCTGTGGGGCAGAGGAGAGCCATGACGTGGGAAATGTGGGYTCATGGGACTCCAGGACCATTTCCATTTGAGATAAACACTTCATTRCCTATAATGAAAAGAGAAAAAAGCCCCTTGCAACAGTGTCAGAACAGGTAAGTGAAAAGCGCACCTTCATTTAGAGGCTTCCAAGCATCCTGGTGGTGATGGAGCACCTAATTTACAMCTAATTTTACAAGGCTGATTAATTAGGATACCTAACAGTGCATCCAACAGGAGATTCTGTCGCCCCAGTAACCCACCTGGGGCTCAGCCCCTAGGTGTAGGTCCAAGGGCTTCTTTGCCTCACTTCTTGCTATGATTTCTCAGATTCTGGTTCGAAAATAAAATGTTCTTCTTGTAGGTCCTCTCCCTGGCAATAAAACTACTCAATATTTCAGGAATGTGTTTGGAAGGTCAGCTTATTTTTCAAAAGTCTAAGAGAAAATGTAGGAAATATACTGGAGTTAATGAAGGAGATATGTAACTATATAATAGTTCACAGAGCTACGAATGTGGAAGATGTACAAAAAGCAAAAATCTTTTTGGCATCAACGTCACCATTGCCATGGCCAACCCCCTGTAAAGCCTCCAGGGACCCTCCTTTTCTGCAGGGACCCTTCTTTCCTTGTTCAGTGAACCCCCCCCCATCTTGCAAAGTTTGCTTCAGGGGTGTAAAACACTCTGGAACTTCACACCCCAGCCAGCCTTTGGGTCCCTCTGGGGTTCTGCTGCCAGCCCTGCACCCTCACACCTGAGCTCACCCCTCTCCTGTCACCGGCTCCCAGYAATGGCATATTTTGGCAGCATCCACATTCAATTCCCTGTTCCCAGAGCAGACACACTCCAGCACCAACAGCAGAACAAATATTTACCTAGTTGAGAAAAATTGTGTCTGTTTCAAAACAAAACAGAAAGGACACAAATGTGTCTCAGCATCCCATGGTTCATTTCTTGTTCGTGTTATG